TGTGCATGTAGAAATTTTTGAAATGGTGTATCTTTGGCTATGTGTATTTTCACCAAAAAAATAGGTTGAGAAGTTACAGGGTTGATATGTTGTAGGGTTGTTAACCAATGTCATAAAACAGCATGTGTACTACTGTTTCATGAGAAACTATTTGTTCTGTAAGCCTTCACCTGAAGTACAATAAAAAAAAAAACAAAAAACCTTATTCTTAAGATTTTTCCCAGTTCAGCAAGTCTTTTTAGTCCCTCTTGCCATTCCTGCATGGAAATTTACATGCTACTAGTCAAATTGGATGGAGTCCCTGGGTGGCACAAATGGTTAAGTGCTTGACTACTAACCAAAAGGTTGACGGTTTAAACCCACCCAGAGGTGCATTGGAAGAAAGACCTGGAGATCTGCTTCCAAAAGGTCACAGCCTTGAAACTCTATAGGGCGCAGTTTTAATCTGTAACACATGGGGTCGCCATGAGACAGAATCAACTCCACGGAAACTGGTTTGGTTTTTTTGTTTAGTGAAATTGGTGGTTTTCTTGATTTCCCCCCCATTTTTGTAGATAAAATACATTTTGCTTTTTTTACTAAACAAATATTCAAATCTTAACAAATATGGACTGTGTTCTGACAGTTGCATTAATTTCTGATATTTTTGGTCAGCTACCTTTCACCTTTGGGGAAATGAAATTATAAACTAACTTGAATATGTAGAACCAGGAAAAAAAATAATCCATTATTTACATATATCAGGAAAGTAAAGATTTGGAATTACTGCATGGTATTTATTTATTTAACAGATAAGAGAAAGGAGCAACATCTCCTGAATTTAGCACTGTTTCTGGAAATTAGAACATCTTCCCTTTTTAGCTAGCCCATGTATTGAAGATATTGGTGTAATTGTCAAAATGATGTTTGGATGCTTCTAATAGAAAAACTCAAAATAATAGTGGCTTAAACAAGATAGAAGTTTATTTTTCTCTCACATAAAGAAGTCTGGGGGCAACAGTTCAGGACTGTATGGTGGCTCCTTGTTACCACCAGGGACCCAATATTTCTACCTTCCTGCTCTACCATGCTCTACTCAGCATACTCCAGAGCATCTCCTGGTCTGAGATGGCAGCTGGAGCTCCAGCCATCAAGTCCACATTGCAGGCTGGAAGAAGGAGGAAAAGCAGAAGGCCAAAAAGGAGGCTCTTCCCAGTTGAGTCTGCTCCCTTTAAGGAGTTCTTTCAGAAATCCTACACAGCAATTCCACTTACTTCTTATAGGCTAGAACTTAGTCACGTGCCACACCTAGCTGCAAAGGAGATAGAGAGTGTAGTTTTTAATTCTGAGCAGGAATATGCACAGCTAAAAATCAGGGGGAGAATGGATGTTGGGGTAGGCAATACCACTATGATTTTGCATTCCTATAATATGCAGAGACTTAGGGCTACCATGTAAAAAGTCAAAACACCTCTTTTTGGTTTTGCTGTGAGCTATAGTTTCTTAATTTAGAAATCTGGCTTAATTTAGAAATCCTGTTTCTTCTGTGAAGTATCATTTCTTTATTTGGCAATCTTGCCTGACTCTTGTTCTCTTCTTTCCTCTTGCCTTTCAGCTGTTTTGGAAAGAAGCAAGGTTTAGATTTCTCCATGTTAACCATGAGTGTGACACTTTCCCCCCTGAGGTCACAGGACCTGGATCCCATGGCTACTGATGCTTCACCCATGGCTATCAACCTGACACCCACTGTGGAGCAGGGTGAGGGAGAAGAGGCGCTGAAGGCCATGGATTCTGACCAGCAGTATGAAAAACCACCCCCACTGCACACAGGGGCCGACTGGAAGATTGTCCTCCACTTACCAGAAATTGAGACCTGGCTCCGGATGACCTCAGAGAGAGTCCGAGACCTAACTTATTCAGTCCAGCAAGACTCAGATAGCAAGCATGTGGACGTGCATCTAGTTCAACTCAAGGTAAGGCAGGTCTCTGGGCTCAGGGTACATTCAGGACAGAAGTCTGAAAAAGGCTATGGCACCTGGAGCCTGAATTCTGTAATTCCCAATGAGGAAATGTCCAGGAAGAAAAATAGAGTAACAGGTAACATAGGCAGAATTAATTCTTTCTTGGTTTTACTTCATGTGCTGATTATCTAGACCAAAACTGGCCTTTGAGGAAAATGTGGAGAAGTTGGGAAAGAGAGGGCCATTTTTGGGCAGTGTCACAGTAATCCATAAAAATGAATAAATGTATTTTAAAAAATATTACAAAAGGTTTAATAAAAAGACTCTCAAAGGTAAAACATCAGACTGAGCTTTGATTGTGTGAGTGTATGTGATTATTATCTTTTGCTGAAGTTGATGGTGACTTTATGGCAAACAGTGGCTTATGGCATGGTGTGATAGGGCAGATGTTCTCATTGAGAATGAGTCCTTTTATCCAGGTACAATGCATCATGCAGAGCAAAGGTGCTTTTATAACAACTCATCTAAGTTCAGACATTTAAAAAATGTCTGGTTTCTGGAGCCCTCCAAAAGCTTAACTGTTGGTAATAATGGAGTAGGGGTGCTAATAAAGAGTGCTATTAATAGATTTCTGGCCTAGGGACCCCAAAATACTGGGAATCTTGTCCTGCTGTACACACTTTTCTCTTCTAGGTCCCTGAGGGAAATTTCATGCTTAGGTGAATGACCAGCAAAGCAAGCAGGTTCATAACCAATCAGGGTGTTGGCCCCAAGTCCTGATGTAAATTTCCAGTCAATTTGATGGGGTCCTAAGGAGAATTTCTTTATCTAAGCTAAACCAGTTGAGTTGCCATTGAGTCGACTCTGACTCATGGTGACCCCACGTGTGTTGGAGTAGAACTGTGCTCCATAGGGTTTTCAATATCTGATTTTTCAGAAGTAGATCACCAGACATTTCTTCCAAGGCAACTCTGGGTGGATTTGAACCTCTAACTTTTTGATGAGCAGCCAAGTGCATTAACCATTTGCACTACCCAGGGACTCCTTAGGTAGTTCATCCTAAATGACCTGAAATCAAAGGCCAAACAGATTATTGGATCTGAATACTTAAATGGCTTACGGGATGCAGCCTTTAGTGGGAAAGGATGGACAGTTAGAGACAGCGTGAGCCCCAAAGCCTGGAGGAGATATGCCTCAGCCTTCTCAGACTGGTTCAATAGAGAAAGAGTGTGTCAGTGTTGAAGAAGAAGCTTCATGAGGGCAGGAAATCAAGTACAGTACTCACATAGTGGTTACTCAATCAACGACTGTTGAAAGAGTGAATTAAAATTGCCCTACATTAATTTAATTCCAGAGTTTCTATCTTTACATTGTTGGTGCTTATTTCATCAGGTGACCTAACCAACATTCTTTGTAATGTTCTCAAATATTCTGTAATAATAGAGCCCTTTGCATAGTAAGCCCAAAGTCAAGGAGCCCTGGTCAGTGCCTGTGGTTTCTAAAACAGTTTACACAATCATTTAGTTTTGATCTCCTGATCTGCTGCTAAATTTACCCTTTGTTTTTGTAATTTCCTTAATTCAACCAAATAAACCTTTTGATACTTTTTTTTTTTTTTAATTTTAAAATTCTTATCAGTTTCCTGAATTTCCACACGGATCCACAAGAATAAAGGGGAATTTAAACACAGTGTAGAAACACATCAAAAAAAAACCTTGTAGACTAAAACAGAACCAAACCTGTTGCCATCAAATCAGTTCAGACTCATAGTGACCCTATAGGGCAGAGTAGAACTGCCCACCAGGTTTCCAAGGAGCAGCTGGTAGATTTGAACTGCTGACCTTTTGGTTAGCAGCCAAGCTCTTAACCACTGTGCCACAAGGGCTCCAACCTCATAGAAGCAACTCTCAGTTGATGTCTGTGGCAAAGTATAGGGGTAGGCACAGCCTGGGGCGAGGACTTCCACCTCCTATGGGGCTGCCTAGCTTGGCTTCCGCTACGTGGGTAAATTACTGGATTTATTCAATTACAGTGAAAAATAAATGCCAGAGGGATGGGAATTCCCATCTAGGTGCTGATAACTGCCACATTTGTATATCCGGTTCTAATGTTTTCCCAGGATCCCCAGCTGCCTAACATTTCCTCTTGTATCTCTAGTAGGAATCTCCAACCAGATATGCCCATCCCAGATCTCTTGTCCTTCCCATACCTGATCCTCCACCAGTCTTCCCAATTTCAGTAAAAGGTACCACTGTTTGCCAAGTCAAAGCAGGATCCTCCCACCCCATATACATATGTGTTCTATCAACAAGTCTGTGGATCCCTCTCCAAAATATTCCCTGAAGTCATTCATTTCTCCCCAACACTACTGCTGCCACCCTAATCAAGCTACGTAACTGCTTGCCTGGAGCCCTCGTGGTGCAGTGGTTAAGAGCTCAGCTGCTAAGCGGAAGGTTGGCAGTTCAAATCCACCAGCCTCTCCTTGGAAACCCTATGGGGGCAGTTGTACTATGTCCCATAGTGTTGTTATGAGTTGGAATCCACTTGAAAGCAATAGGTTTAGTTTTAACTAGTCTTTTTGCTTCCACTTTTTCACGTAGTAGCCACTGTGATCTTTTTAAAATGTAAATCGTATCTGTCACTCTCTTGTTTCCTATTGGATTTACAATAAAACCCAAGCTCCCTCCTGTAGCTCTGCCCTTGCCTGCCTCTGGCCATGTCTCCTCTTTCTTTTTCCTTGTTCATAAGGCTCTAAGCACACTGGAAGTTCCAAAGAAGTGATAGGCTAGTTCTTGCCACATGGCTTTTACTGTTCCCTCTACCTAGAAACTCTCTTCCTTCATCTTTGCGTGGCTGAATTTTGATCCTCATCAAGCAGTCAGCAGAGGCACAACCTGTGCTTGTGTTTGGTGAAGGGCAAGCACAAAATAAGGAGCTACCCTTTACTTAAAATGTCTACATGCCTTGTATTCCCTTTCACATTGCTTGCTCTAAATCTTCTCATCATAGTCTTCTCTACCATCATGTCATTGTATAATTTTTAAAGAAACAGTTGAAAAATGCCTTAGGAAAATGATCAGGGTAGGCTTGGCCTCTGGTCTTATGTTAAATGTCACTTTCTCAAAAAAAAAAAAAAAATTCTGATCTCTATTTTAACACCCATTCCCTCCTGTAGCCATTATCTATTCTATTATCTAGCTTTATTGTTTAAATGATTTCTTATTACTAGCTGCAATTATCTTATTTGTTTACTTGTTTGTGTTCTCCCCAAGAATCTGGAATATCTAATTCTCCACTGTATCCCTGTTACCTAGGACAGGGCCTGGCACTTGGTGGGGGCTCAGTTCACATCTATGGTTGGATAAAAACCAAACCAAACCTGTTGCTATCTAGTCAATTCCAAATTATAGTAACCCTATTAGACAGGGTGGAACTGCCCCATAGGGTTTCCAAGGCTGTAAATCTTTACAGAAGCAGATTGCCACGTCTTTGTCCTGCAGAGTGGCTGGTGGGTTCAAACTGCCAATCTTTTGGTTAGCAGCCAAGGGCTTTACCACTACTCCACTGGGGCTCCCATAGTCAATATCTTCTCTTCCCATAGGCAGGCTTGCATGGAAATCACAGAAGGAAGGCTGCTGAGGATTGAGTTAGGACAAAGGTGTTGGATGAATTAAGGCCCATGTGTGCTTGGGGCATTGCTCTCCCATTAAAGAGAGTCCTGTGAGTGGATCAGAAGTCGTGGAGATATTGTCTGGAGAATCTCTGCATAGGAGAGTCTTTTTTTTTTTTCCTGTAAGGGTCTGTGCTTGGACCCCACTCCCATGCTCCTTTCTCGTTGACTCCTTCTTCCATGATGATTTTGGTCAGTAGATTTACTCTCAGGTCTTCTAGGCCAGGAGACATTCTTTTTCTTTAAAGGTAGCCTGAGTTATCTTTAAAGTCATTGTGTTGATCTTAAAATGTATTTGTCAGAGACCACTCTTATCTCCCTTATTTCCAAGTTCTTAGGGGAAGTTTTACTATAATCCCCAGGATAAACCACTATTATAAAGTTTCCAAGGGAGTAATTGTTCTAGAGAGTGAATAAAAATATCCAGTGGTAAGATTAAAAAATGGAAACAGTGAAATATGTTATACTGAGTACTTTTTTCCATTTTTTTAAACTAAAAATGCAGTCCACATATTTTGCCTCTTGGTTTCCGGATATTCTTTAGTAAAATGTATGAGAAGCCAGCTGAACCATTTTTAGAAACTGCTTTTTCCCTCTTTGGATTCAGAAGCTCTGCTGTGCAAGCAAACCAGACCAAGAACTTTAAACAGTTTTGATTTTAATTGAAATTCCGGTCTGGATGAAAGTATTTGAGTTTCAAGCAGGCAAAGTAGGCATCTCTGCTTCCTGACTAACAGGCTTCTCAGGGAGAGTATTATTTTTATTCCAGGAAACACAATAGCAGAAAAGGCGCAGGGCTTAGATTAGCTAGCACAGGATAAATGATGTGGCTGGATGACAAACAGAAGTCTTGAAGTGACCCACTTTAGTAAATTCTTCTACTCTAAACCACGACCACATGAGATTTGTGTCTCAAAGTTAGAGCGTTCGACGGAGACTGTTTACCAGATGTTCTGATTGGGCTGTTCCCAGATTGGGATGTGTCTGACATCTGGAGTTGATCCAGATACTAGGTGACTCACTCACATGGGGTCTTGAGGGCCTCTGTGGAAAAAGTCTTGAATTCTCACCGAATCTGGGGTTCAGCACATCAGGTGCACCTGATGGACTGAAGATGATGGATTTTATAGCTTTGCAGGAGCATTAATTGTCAAGATAGCGCAACAAGCCTACCAGATTTTCCAGCTGTGTAATTTTTAATTAGCAATTGTTGTTGTTGCTAGCTGCCATTCAGCTGAAAACAAGGTCTAGAGAAAAGTAATAAATATCATCAAAAAAAGTGAAGATGAGTCCATTGAGAAAAGTCTGAAGAAACTGGCATTATTTTGGTTGGAAAAGTGTT